TCACATTATCTACGACTTTCTCTTAAACAGTTAAAGTATCACACAAATCGAACTTTATCAAAGTGAAGTGAAAAACGCTTGTTTCCGATTTTTTTTAAAAACTTTCTATAAAATTCATTAGAAAGCAAACTCCATTGGCTATTAAAATGACTATCTGAATTTGAGCTTAGTGATTAACATTATAGGAAAATACATTCTTGTTACATTTCTTTTCAAGACGTTATATAAGTTTATACACCTTGAAATAAGAGAACATGTAACTGCAAATGTTGATTCTTTACTCACATCATATTTTAAACTATGTATTTATTGTTATTAGTTTTTCTGTGATTAGAAATGGAATGACAGCAAATTTTAGTGGCTTTATCTGCACTATTGACAGACATTCATATGAAGACAATTTGTCGTAGACAAAATATCAAAGAAAGTTGATGATTTCAGCATCTTTTGTTTGATTTCTATCAGAAAGATGAATGATGATACTTTATAAAAGTGTTTACGTATTCTGTCGAATTCTCAATCCTCTCTACTCTGAAAAATAGTCTGAAACCTTGATTATTACTTGAACAATTCCAAAGAAAAAAAAAATAATCTAGATTCTTGCAGATAATCTTTTTTCTATTCAACTATAACTAATCTACGATAAATTATCTTGTAATATAAACTTGTTATTGATTTATATGATTGCTTCTTTATAGTTTTCTTGATGATTCATTTCGAAAAAATCTTGAATCAGCACTTCGTTTTGGTAATCCATTAGTTGTTCAAGATGTTGAACGTTATGATCCAATATTAAATCCTGTACTTAATCGTGAAGTACGTCGTACAGGTGGTCGTACATTAATAACAATTGGTGATCAAGATATTGATTTATCACCAGCATTTAGTATATTTCTTTTTACTCGTGATCCATCTGTTGATTTTCCACCAGATATATGTTCACGTGTAACATTTGTTAATTTTACTGTAACACGTGCATCATTACAAGCTCAATGTTTATCACAAGTATTAAAAGTTGAACGACCTGATGTTGATGAAAAACGTCGTGATCTATTAAAATTACAAGGTGAATTTCAACAACGTTTACGACATTTAGAAAAAGATTTATTAGAATCATTAAATAATGTTAAAGGTCGTATATTAGATGATGATACAATAATATCACGTCTTGAAACATTAAAACGTGAAGCATTTGATATAACAAAAAAAGTTCAAGAAACTGATCAAGTAATGAAAGAAATTGAAAATGTATCAAAACAATATTATACATTATCAGTTGCATGTTCATCAATTTATTTTACGATGGAATCATTAAATCAAGTTCATTTTCTTTATCAATATTCATTACAATTTTTTTTTGAAATGTTTAATGCTATATTTACAAATAATAATCATTTAACAAATAAAACAGATCCATTAGAACGTTTACAAATAATAACAAATGATTTATTTCAAATGATTTATACACGTATTGCACTTGGTATGTTACATGAAGATCGTATTGTACTTGCTTTATTATTAGTACGAATTTATTTAAAATCTTTAAATGCGGAACCAAATTATGATGAAGAATATGATATATTAATACATGGTAATAGTACAACAACAAATAATAAACAAGATCAAATAACAATTGAAGGTTTAACACAACAACAAACAGATTCAATGGTTAAATTATCTAAATTACCTGCATTTAAAAATCTTCAATCACAAGTTTTATCAAATCCTGATTTTCCAAAATGGATTGAAGAAATTAATCCAGAATTAAATGTACCACATTTATGGTCTGAATTAACACCATTAACATCTATCGGTAAAATATTTTATCAATTATTAATGATACAAGTATTTCGTCCTGATCGTTTCTTATCAGCTGCTCGTATATTTGTATCACATGTATTTGGTGAAGGATTTTTATCAGCTGCTGATGAAGTACTTGATCTTGGTCCTATTGTTGAACGTGAAATTGTTTCAAATAAACCAATATTAATGTGTTCTGTACCAGGTTATGATGCTAGTTCACGTGTTGAAGATTTAGCTACACAAACAAATCAACAATTAATATCAATTGCTATTGGTTCAGCTGAAGGATTTAATCAAGCTGAAAATTCTATTGCATCTAGTGCACGACAAGGACGTTGGGTTTTATTAAAAAATGTACATTTAGCACCACAATGGTTAATTACATTAGAAAAACGTCTTCATGCTATGCCAGCACATAATCAATTTCGTTTATTTTTATCAATGGAAATTCATCCAAAATTACCATCAAATTTACTTCGTATGGGAAGAATTTTTGTTTATGAACCAGCACCGGGTATTAAAGCTAATTTATTAAGAACATTTTCAACAATACCGTAAGTTTATTTTATTGAAATTTTAACTTTAGAATGATAAGAATTTTTTTTATGTATGAAAATTCTACTCAAAATTATTTCATCAAAAATTATAAGTAAAGAAAAAAACTTAAGAAATTCATCGGACGCAACTATGCTTCAATGAGTTGAGAAAATCATTGAAAATGATTCTGATATGAAGAATGAAACTTTTGTTGAACACATAACTATCATAGATAAAAAAAACAAGATTTTGAATCTATTGTTGAGATAATTGAAAATGTAGTCGTATTTATTTTAAATAGAAATTCTCAAAAAAAATCTATGTTCTATTTTTTATTCTAGTTCATTACGTATGAATAAAATTCCAAATGAACGTTCACGTCTATATTTTCTTCTTGCTTGGTTTCATGCTGTTATTCAAGAACGTCTTCGTTATGTTCCACTTGGTTGGTCAAAACATTATGAATTTACTGAAGCTGATCTTAAATGTGCATTAGATACAATTGATATTTGGATTGATTTAATTGCTATGGGTCGTACAAATCTTCCTATTGATAAAATACCATGGGAAGCATTACGTACACTTCTTTCTCAATGTATTTATGGTGGTCGTATTGATAATCCATTTGATCAACGTTTATTAAATGGTTTTCTATCAAAATTATTTTCTTTAACATCATTAAATACTGATATGAAATTAATTATTGAAGAACAAGATGAAAAATTACAACAACCACTTGTTGTAACAATGCCTGATGGTGTTAAACGTGAACAATTTATAACATGGATTGAACAAACATTACGTACATTAATTCAACAACCATCATGGCTTGGTTTACCAAATAATGCTGAAATTGTTTTATTAACAACACGTGCACGTGAAACATTAGCTAAATTACTTAAAATGTCATCAATTATACTAAATGATGATGAAGATACTACTGAAAATATTGTTACTGATCAAACAACAACTGATACATCAATACAAGGTAAAAAACGTTCGGAAACAGGTGATAGTCGACCAGCATGGATGAAACAATTACATAATTCATGTATAACATGGTTAAAATTATTACCAACAAAAGTTACAACAATGCGACGTACAACAGAAAATATAAAAGATCCATTATTTCGATTTTTTGAACGTGAAGTTAATACAGGTTCAAAATTATTAAGTGTTGTTCAATCAGATTTACGAGATATTATTGCTGTTTGTGAAACAAAAAAGAAACAAACAAATTATCATCGACAACTAATTAGTGATTTAATTAAAGGTAAAATAAAAATTAAGAATATACATAAACGAAAATTTTGAGTTCGTTTTTTTTTTTTATGTTTGATTTACACAACTAATATTGGAAAATAAAAATTATCGATATAGATTTTTCTATGATAGTTCTGATTCTTGAAAAAGACTACTGAAATGAAGATGACACTGTCAATCAATTGATAAACTACATTGAGAGTTTAGATGGCAGAGCTGAGAAGTCTTGATAGACACAAGTCTACTCTATATTGGACAAATAAAGTTTTGAGTAGGTTGAAATTCTAAAAAATTTCTATTAATGTTTAATTTTCATTTTCTTTTGATATATGACGCGTTGTGACAACGTTAGTCGACATTTCATCTTCTGCCAATCAAAACTTGTACAAAACATTTTTTCTTATGACTATAAATTCTATCAATGAAATAAACATAGTGAATCTTTTATTATCTACTGAATAATAATTCATATTATTTCAAATTTTTTTTCTTTTCGATCAAAAGTAAAATTTACTTTTTGTTTAGGTGTCATTCCACAATCATGGAAGCGTTATACAGTTCCAAAAAGTTTAACAGTTATTCAATGGATAACAGATTTTAGTGATCGAGTTAAACAACTTGAATCAATATCGAAATTAGTTGCTGATCAAGGATTTAAATCATTAAAAGTAAAATTTGATTTATTCAAAATCAAAAAGCAATAAAAATATATGATTCTCTTACGATTTTTTTTTTAGTCATGTCCTATTTGGCTTGGTGGTTTATTTACACCTGAAGCATATGTAACAGCATCACGTCAATGTGTTGCACAAACAAATCAATGGTCACTTGAAGAACTTGTTTTACAAGTTATTGTACAAGATTCAACAGATCAACAACATATTCAAGATGATTGTACATTTGCAATACGTGGTCTTCGTTTACAAGGTGCAAAATGTCGATCAAATAAACTTTCATTATCATCAGCAATATCAACAGAACTTAATTTAACATTATTTAAATGGATACGTGCAACAGAAAAGAAACAAACAAATTCAATGATAACATTACCTGTTTATTTAAATGCAACACGTAGTGAATTATTATTTACAATTGAACTTGAATCAGCAGATACTTCATTAAATGAATTTGATTTTTATGAACGTGGTGTAGCTTTACTTACATCATCGATTGCTTAAAGCAACAAAAACACCAACCAATTTTTTGACTGTTCATTACTTATTCATAGATTTCTTTTTTTTCTTCTTTTTTTTTTGTTTTGTTTTGTTTTACACACTAACATACTCGCATTTTTATCTTATCTCTGTCTTATATTCTAATAGCTATGAAATAAACGACAAATTTTCAAGAAATACTTATCAAGTCTTTTCTTTTGATTCCAATGATTCATCTTTTAGATGTCGAATGCTCTTACAATACCAGATTCACCTTCATCTCCAAGCAATCCACAAAATCCAACGATATGTGAGAATGAAGTCGAATGTACTAAACCAGCACTTGTAACATGTCATCATTGTCCAAAACGTTTATGTCTTAAACATGTTATTGAACATAATGAAATAAATATTGTTCGAACATATGCATTATCTGATGAAATAAATTCTTTAACACATTTACTTTCAAAACTTGATTGTCAACAATCTGTTGAAAATGCTCGTAAAAAACTTGATCAATGGAAAGAAAATATTCTTGCTGATATTGAAAATACATATAAACATTATTCGAATGAAGTAGATGAATTACAAAATGAATTAACACACCGTGTAGATATTTTTAAAGAAAGTCAAAAATCTAAAATGACAATTTTACAAACACAATTAGCAGCATTACAAAAAGTTGGAGAAATATCTCAACAAGTCAGTTCAACTTTTATTCATTAATTTATTTTATATTTTGTTTATTTTTATTAGCAATTATCACCAATTGAACGTGATCTAAATCAACTTCGACAATGTCTAGAATCAGTTCGATGCGAAATATGTATTGAAACAAAAGATATTTCTTGTAATGATCTAATTAATGCACATAATATATTTTCATATAATCGTATTTTACCAAATAATACTTTAATGCAATCATATCGAACATTATCTGTTGAAAATTATAAAAAATTTGTATCAAGTAAACAAAATGAATCTATTTTATGGTTAGATAATCGACGACAATTACATTATATTGATAAAAAATTTAATGATAATTCATTAACATGTTTGTTTATTATTATTTTTTTTTTAACTATTAAAATTTATTTATTTTCTTATTTGTCTTTTCTTTTATAGTACCTCCTATTATGAGTAATCCGTCAACAGCAACTGCAACTTTACTACCATATCATCAAACCGGTATAAAAGATGTTGATATAGTAGATTTAAAATGGTGTCCATCAGCTGAAGTATTTTTTATTCTTTTTCAACGACATTTATTTTCATTTGAACCAAAAACAAATAGATGTACACAAATTCATATGACTCGACATAAAGATTATCCGTAAGAAAAACAACATATATATATATATATTCATTTCTGGTTTCCTTCACTTCGATCGAAAGTAAAAATATCGAGAATAACAAGATCAGAAGTAACAATGCTGAAAATTGAAGTGGAAGCTTCTGAATATTTTCTTGAAAATCAAGTACATAGAAGTGACTACAAGGTTTTCGATGATTAAGGATGTGGATGTAGGTGTTGCAGTGACACGTAATCAGAATTTTTTTTAGCATAGATGTTCGTTAACTTTTAATTCGCTAGAAAGTATTTCCAACAAATTAAAATCTATGAGCTAGGATGTTCGTTTCGAATATGAACTACCGTTTTACGTATTGTTTATAAATAGTATTTAAAAACTCAGTAAATACAATCTATTAATGGTTGATTATATGAAAGGATTAATATAAAAATTAAAACGATTAATTATAGAGTGAATCGCTTTTGTTCTTTTCTCTTACTTCTGACCCACTTTCTTTTATTCTACATATATTGTGAATAAGAAGAACCATTTCCAGGTTCAATAAGGACGGTCGTAAAAACAAATCGTATAGTGAAAAATACAGCAATTCACATGGGTCAATGTTACGATCTGATATGTCCGTGTCCTATACGGACAAGTACAGAACGTATACTCTCGTTTACAAGTATATAGGAACTTCGTATTCGTTGATCTGACTTGTTTTAATTCTTCTTATGGTTCATAATCTAAAATAAAGGGAAAAAAAAACTTCTTGATTCCTACCCTAACTGTTATCTTCATCTATTCGTATGCACAGATATTCGACGTTTTTCAAATAAAAATAACATATTTCGTGTTTATAAGTTTTCATCTACTCTTAACTATGGATGTGGTACGAGTTTCTCAATATGAAAACGACATATCACATGAAAAGGTGATAGTAGAAGATGATGGAATAAATGCAAACAATAAAATTCAAACAAAAAAGTAATCAAAATATTGAATTTTAAAAAATGGGTAATGTTTAATCAGTTCAAAAAAAATCATTTGATATTTGCCATATGGAAATGAAAAATGATTCATATTGGAAAACATCGAAATAAAACTGTACAGCTTTTTTTAAGAATTACGCAAACACATTGTGGACATGGCTATTCGTATGAAATATTGTAAACTATCACTAGCAGCAAGGGCAGAGAAGATTATTGAGAAAAGAAAAACAGGTAGATGAGCAAAGGCTAAGTCTGCTTTACTAATAGAATAATTTGATTTTTTTTTCAATTATTTTTTAAATTTCTTGTTATTTATTGTATAGCTCTTTCATTTATTTAAGTTTATTTTCTACTGATAAATTTTGTATTTTTTACTGCTACTTATTTTCAATAAAAGGACTATTTTACAATTAACTACTAGTAATTTTAGTGCCGACTGTTTAATATTTATACGGACTATCTATATTTGTTTTTACTGACCATTTTATCTATTTTACTGCCACTTAATTGGTAGCCTAAACAAAAATAAACACTAATTACTAAGGCTATATTCAAAAAAAAGTAGAAAACTCCGGTCGCGTTGGCTCTTCTGAAACTCTTTCAAGCAAGCCACAAAACACAAACATGGTCACCGGAAACGTCGATCTACAAGTTCTGTCTAAAATATTCTTTTTTTCGACTTTTAAAAGATTATTTCACTAATTTTGAGCAAAAACTAACACAAAATTGATAAATTCTTTTGCGAAAAGAGGACAAAGTTATGATCCTATCTCATAGGATATTGACTTATTAGTAATATTTTTTAACCAGTTAAAAAGTGATCAAACATCTTGTAGAAAAAAATTTCCGATCACCCGCTACTCTTCACGCACACGTGGGCTTACACTCACATAGTTTCACCGCACCTTTCGATATTTTTAAGTTCAACTAAAGTTCAGATTACCCAATTAGTAAAAATCTTTTTATTTTAGGTTTCGCTGTTTATCTTGTTTAAATGATTCATCACTTTATATATCATATTGTGTTTTTGGTATCTGTATTGAATTATGGAAATATCCAAGCAATAATAATAATAATAATTTGAATGCTGCTTTAAAACGTTGGGATCGTTTAGCTAATGATAAAACTGAATGGGTATCACATATGGATACAAATATAGCATCACATTTAGGCTTACTCATTCGTACAGCATCATCAATTCATACACGTTTTGAATTACGTGATGAACATTTAGCTTTATTAAAACAAATTCCATTAAATGATGATTTTGTTGATTTATTTTATCCATTTCGATCTAATCAATGGTTTATTAAAAGTTCATCGGGAAAATATTATGTTTATTCAACGGAAACAAATACATATGATGTATCATCATTTGAATTTCCTTTTGGATTACAAGAATTTGGTATAAATTCAATTGTTATTGGCAGTGGACAAAATGAACTAACATTATGTGATATTTAAAAACAAACACATTTTACATATATATATATATGCACATCTCCTGTTTTGTTTTTTATTTGTCGTTTTTATTTATAAAATAGACCACAGTAATACTATAAATTTGTATATAAACGTATTATGAACATATTGAATTATTGAACGAATAATTTATGTGCAAATTTATCCACAAAAATTTTCTAGTGTCACTTTCTTATGTAGCATCTTGTTTATTTTGTAAGATCATCAACCACATTATAGCAATAAGTCAAATACATTGCCATTTTGTATTCCATGTTGTCATTACTTCAGAAGATCTAAGTGCCTTATGGTGATTGTGCTCATTTGTTTGCATTAAATGATTCAAGACTCGAACAATTAGAGAAAGAATTTGCAGTATGTCAATAGATCTTATACATGACCTGTGTCAAAATTTTACATAGTTATTTGCTGATATCACATGAAACATCTCGAGAACTTACTTATATGGATGCTAGTGTATCGGATTGCTACATGCCACACAATTGATCCTTCAGCAGAACTCATAAAGAATCTCTGATTAATACACGGCAACATAAACACAAGAGACTATGTATAGAATTGAATTATACGAATATTCCTAATGAGTTTTATGAGTGAGCAACGCTAATTTTTTCTCTAATTCAAACACGTTTGTAAAAGATAACTATCAAAAATGTTTCGACAATAATAAACCGACGATCATATGTTATTTTTCCAACAAAACAAAATGATTAATGTTGTATTGAGCAGCATGAATTTGAACATTATTTGAAAAAAAATCACACGATCAATGTCCAAATTCAAGACTCAATTTTTCTACTACAAATAAACATCTTTGTTGATGAGTAACAATTTGTTCAGATTTCTCACATTAGTATCGAAATAAAAGCCATAAATAAAATGTTTTGCTACACAAATAAAAATCATTATTTAGTTACATCAGATTATTTAACAATACTCTACTTTCTTGTATCGTCGTGCTATATTTTTTATCATTTTTTCTCGATCAAAAAATATGAATAATGAAAACTCCTTGTGACAAGTTAAAGATATTGTTTCGATATACACAAATGTTTGATCTTTTTTCCATGAATATTACTCCGAACACACATCACGATATCATAGTCACTATTCTAATATAACTATGTTTTAGCTTGTATTTCTTGCTGTCTAATAGGTAATTAGGTTAAATACGGCAACTATTGTCGTAAGTAAACAAATCAGAAGAAGCAGGATACAAAATCCCATATAAAACAAATTCTAAACTATTTTTGATAAAGTATCTCTCAATCTATTCACCAGATACGTTGCACTTTCAGTACTATGGGTTTGTAAAGCTGCCTTTTCCTCATTTCAGTTGTCAGAAGTGCTTTTTTTCTATTTTGTACAATTCATGAATATGAATGTAGATGATAAGAGTACCCTTGATGACATTCACATCTTGTGTGCTATCTTTTATACCACACCTGTGCCATTATATACTATGCATGCTTTCTGCTACATCTATTGATGATTTCTACAGTTGTACTAAATGCTTAAAATTAAAAAGAAAAAAAGCTATCAAACAAAGGAATTATACTTGTCAACATGTTGTATGAAGTTTCATTATTAGATTTCGATAGTTCCGATTCAGCTCCCAGAATATCATATAGAATCAAAGACGTTAAATCAACAAATGGATACGAAAATTTTTAATCTATTTCGAGAAATTTTCATTATGGAGTTGTTGAAATCAAAAACACTACATAGTTCAGTATCCCAACAAAACAATCCTATAAATATATACTGAAATCTATAATTTTAAGAACGAAAAAATGAAGATTTTTTCAGGGATTTAAGGGGCTTTGTACCTATATGATGATTTAACGCTTCTAGTTTCAAGAAATTTTGTGGAACCATCGAACTTTACTCTTGTTAAGCTTCAGAGAATAAAGACTTGACCCAAAAACAAAACTTCATTGATTTTGGGATTATTACTTGTGACGAAGAATAGACCCATCGAATATATTTAATTTTAATTATTTCTAAATACACTTCTCACATATCACACAGATACATACAAAATGAGCTATTCTTTGCTTGAAACAATCTGAATAACATAATTTTAAGGTTTTTCAAAGTTCTGTTTGAAAAAAAAATCATAAAACACATTTACATCATAACTCGTATTGAAACTAGACAAAAAATACTAGTTTCGTTTCTTTTGTGCTTTAGTACTGTATTTTCATTTCAAAAATCAAAATAAGAATTAAGTACACGATGAATTACTATCCATTCTATCAATTCATTCAATTATTCAATCGCTTTTAAATCAAGACTATGCCAACGAGTGAACAGTAAAATCCTGAAGTCTAAAATTCTTCTATGTTTCTAGAATTTTTCTTGAACTCTTCAGGATTCTCTTCAATTCGATAGAAATCTTCAAGATTCTTAGAAAGCTCCTAAGAGCCTATAAAGAGCAGCCATTTGTGTCACTACAGCTTTCCACGTTGGTATCTTGTTTTTCTTTTTATATTCGTTCATGATCATCGACGTATGAATACATTGATTGCTCATTAATTGTGTTGTATTGAGTTCTCATTCTTAGGATAGTCTTATCTCCACTGCAAGTGCAGCAACTGAACCAATTTCTTCGTTAATCTATTAGAAAATTCAGATAGCATTAGTTAGTCATTTATCAGCAACTAAATTGTGACATGCTTTGATATTAATGAACGTCTAATTAGTGATATGGTACTCAGAAATGTTCGAATCATTTGTTTTTCAAATTTTACTCAGCGCCATAACTCATGACAATCAATTGATTAACGGAGGAATTGTTTTCTTGGTTACTAGCCATGATATTGACTATTTGTGTGAATACTCAATGGTATTATTCATTTTTAATTTGAAACATGAACTTGTTAAATCAAGATCTATTTTATTTTTGGTATATATAATCGAGAAAAATTCCGTTTTGTTGATTGAACACTTTCATCTGTTTCATCATCGGATGCATTATCTCCATCTTGAGTATGGATGTGAGTATGGATCTTTTCTTTATCCATTCACACTTCACATTGATTGTCATGTTCACAAGCATGCTCACACCCAAGCTTATATTCATTTCACTTCAAATAAATGTCATATTTGAAGTCAGCATAAAAAATAAGTTGACTTACGTATGTTTCAAATTGTTTTTGCATCTCTTTCTCTCATCCATTTTTCACCTCTAGACTCTGTGAGGGACGTATGAAGAAATGAATATAATCAGGGCAACTATTTTAATGTTTAGTCACTTGTCTTTTTTTTTGTTTTCAAATTGCATTTTACAAGTTTAGAGCTTTCTTAACACTGCTACAATGACTTTTCACGTATCTTTGAAGAAGTACCAGAGTGATCATTTGATCAGAAAAGAAAAGTTTAAGGCCCCCTCATAAATCATTTCCCACTTAGAATGGGTCTTTTGAGCTGAAAATTTCAGAGATGAGTGATCCTGGAGAGATACGCCTCTGGCAAAAATTTCAGCCCGATTGGCCATACTAGACTGGAGTTTCAGCTGAATCATAGGTCATTTTTGGCCTTCAGAAGAATAGATATAACTTCGTCATAACATGAGATATCGAGCTCGGACCAGTCTCAAATTAAAGCTAATGTCAGTACGCAACTTTTATCCGAACAGAATTTTTAAATTCAATCTTATTGATTTTTTATGATCATTTTAGTGGAAGGGTGTAAAAATCAGCATAAAAAATGGTAATCGAACGACAGTAAATTCCACTTTTCTCATCGCAGGAATCGACTTTAAAAACACTGGTCGGATAAAAATTTACTCTCATTGAGACCTTTAAAACAAAAAAAAAATATTGGATATGGCTCTAGCGGAACGGGAGTTATTTCAATTTTCCTGCTGAAAACCGTATTTTGAGAAACACGCTAAAGAACATATTATAATGGTATATTATTGATTCACTCCAGTGGACCGTTTCGTTTTAAAGCACGTAAGAGAAGAAGGTAGCTAACGCCATCTGTCATGCTGGGTAATATAAAAATGTTCTACTCAATGCTAATGCAAGTGGCAACGCATTTTTTTCAAAACTGAAAACCTTTAAAAACTACGAAAATTTCTCGGAAAATATGGTGGTAGGCTCCAAGTTTCATGTGATAAGTCTTTGAAAATCTGTTCATTTTCCAAAAAGCCATATATATTCTGAAAGAGGAAGCTTCACTGCATCTTCCTATGATAAAAACACAGCTTCAATATTTCTTTGAAAAATTGGATTTTCTAAGAGGGGGGGAGACCTTGAAACATATAGAGGTCACCACAGTCTTTTGTGTTGATTCCAAATACAATATGTGTTTGACATTAAATGAGTGTTATTCTGATTGAAAACCGTCAAATATTAATCCACAAGCTTCAACATTGCGTCTAAAGAATAAGAGCCTTATGAGTTTTGTGGCCCATTTCGTTTATGCTCTAAAGAGTGGTTCGTTTTGTAGTGCTTGAAAAGCTCTATCAGACTGAAAATGAAAGCAATTGAAGATTTGTATACGATGTAGTAGATTCAAGACATGATTCTAAATGGGCGGTTCTATTATGAAAAACCAGTCTCAACTAAGTTCTATCAGGATAACTTTGGATAATTCTTCATCTTCACTTGTTCTCTCTCTAACGAATACTTACATTCTTGACCAGTACCACTAACTGATGGCTCATTTACTATATCGTGAAGATAGACTCTATCTATACTTATAAATGAATAGGAAATCTCCGGGTTTAAAATCAAAATGATCAGAAGCTTATAATCTTTTATGCCACATATGGCTCAGTTAGCTAGGATCTTTGAAAATCAAAAGAAGTCGAAATGCATCTTTGTGCACTTGTGTGTTTGCCTTGTCAAGATTAAAAACACCAGATTTCGGATGAAGGAGCTATACAATTGTTATTAAAAATGTTCTATTAATTGTTTACGTTTAGTAACAGATTTATCTGAAATAGCAATATATCAAAAGACTTACAACTT